CCCTTCTTCATTTCTGAAGAAGGGTCTAGGCCCGAAATGTCAGCCTTCCTGCTCCTCTATGCTGCTTCGCCTGCTGTGTTCATCCAGCTCTACACCTTGTTATCTCTAGTCTCAGTAATGTTGACCATGATGTAATTAGTCATAAAAACCCACCTGGCTCACTAATGTCCTTTAGGAAAGACAATTTCTGACCCTCACTTGATCTGGCCACAGACCCACAGCAAGTGATGATGCTCAACTGCTGTCTTGAACGGCCATTCTGCTGTATCAAACAAAATCCTAAAAGGCAAGCTGTAGTGGAGACTTGGCTTAAAAAGGGGCAAAAATGGCAGCTGAAAGCCCCTGCACGTAGAGTCTTCCGGCAGGATGCAGAGGAGGATTAAAAAAAGTTGGGGGCATAACATCATTGGTTAAAGAAACGATTCCAGCTGTGAGGATGGATGCTGTACAAAATGAATTATCAAATTAGGCCAAATGTATTGAGCTCAGAAATAAGAAATGGTAACCCCACTGCTAGGAGTGTACTGTAGACCCCAAAGTAGTGCAAGGTAGATGGAATAGCAAATATGGAGGCAGATTCCTGATTGCAAAACAATAGGACAAATAATCATTGGGAACTCAACCACTCCACGTCAACTGGGATATAAACACTGTGAAATGCACAGAGGACGCAAATTCAAGAGAACTTTCTTAGCCAGAACCTAACAAGTCCAATTGAGTCCATATTTAGTTTCAGGAAATTAAGCTGAGCTAGTGGATGAACTCACAGTCAGTGACCATTTTGGAGATAGTGATCATATTACAGTTACATTTAACATAATTATGGAAAAGCTGAAAGATAGAACTTAATTTAAAAATCTAAATTGGGAGAAGACAAATTTTAAGAAGCTGAAAGTGATGTGGTGAAGGTAGACATGATACAGCCACTTGAAGGAAAATCAGATATGAGTCAGTGTGAGACAGTGGGATGATTTGTCTTGAGAAAGGGTAATATTGCTAAATATAGAGTACCTGATTGTACAGAAACACACAGTGTAACGGAAAGCTGCAATAAAAAAAAGTACAGAGTGAATTAAAAAGGAAACACCGATAGAACTGCGGATGTTATAAATCTGAAACAAAAACAGAAGTTGCTGGAAAAGCTCAGCAGGTCTGGCAGCATCTGTGAAGGAAAATTAGAGTTAACGTTTCAGGTCCGGTGACCCTTTCTCAGAACCGATGGTAGCTGGGAAAATGTCGGTTTATATACAGAAGATAGGGTGGGGGGAGGGGGTAAGGTGTAAACTATAGGCGGGGATAGAGACCAAAGAGAGAAAAGAACAGTTGGACAGACAAAAGAGTGGATAACGATCAGGCTGGGAGGGTGAATAGGTGTTAATGGGGACTGTTAGTGGCTATTTTTTTTTCTTTATTCATTCATGGGACGAGGGCGACGCTGGCCAGGCAGCATTTATTGCCCATCCCTAATTGCCCACAGGCCAGTTCAGGGTCAACCACATTGCTGTGGGTCTGGAGTCACATGTAGGCCACACCAGGTAAGGATGGAGGTTTCCTTCCCTAAAGGACATTAGTGAACCAGATGCGTTTAACAATAGGCGGTGTGTAATGGCAGGCTGTGTGACAACAAGGCCTGGTGTATGGGGTGGGGACTAGGACATGGGAGAGTTTTGGCCCTAATATTATTGAGCGCGATATTGAGTCCAGAGGGCTGCAGGGTCCCCAAGTGGAAAATGAGGTGTTGTTCTTCCAGCTTGTGCTGAGCTTCGCTGGAACACTGCAGCAAGCCTGAGACCGAGATGTTGGCCAAGGAACAGGGTGGTGTGTTAATGTGACAGGCAACAGGTAGCTCAGGGTCTTTTTGCAGGCAGAACATTGATGTTCTGCGAAGCGGTCACCCAGTCTACGCTTTGTTTCCCCAGTGTAGTGAAGGCCACATTGGGAGCAGGCTAGATTGTGGGACGTGCAGGTAAAGTGCTGATTCAACTGGAAGGTACATTTGGGCTTTTGGATACTGGGGATGGAGGGTGTAAATGGGCAGGTGTTATACCTTCGGCAGTTGCAGGGGAAGTTGCCGTGGGGCTGTGGGGGTGTGTTGGGAGTGAAGGAAGAGTGCACCAGGGTATCCTGAAAGGAACGGTCCCTGCAGAAGGCGGACAAGGGAGGGGAGGGGAATATGTGTCTGGTAGTAGTACCTCGCGAGAGATGACAGAAATGGTGTCTGATGATCGTCTGAATGTGGATGCTGGTGGGATGGTAGTTAAGGACAAGGGGAGCCCTATCGCTGTTGCGGGAGGGAAGAGAAAGGGAGAGGGCGCAAGTGCAGGAGATGGGTCGGACCCGGTTGAGGGCCCTGTCGAAAATGGTGCTGGGGAGTCCTCATTTCAGGAAGAAGACGGACATTTCAGAGGCTCCCTAGTCAAAGTTGGCCTCATCAGAACATATGTGATGAGACAGGAGAACTGAGAAAATGGGACAGAGTCTTTACAGGAACCAGGGTGTGAGGATGTATAGTCCAGGCAGCTGTGGGAGTCAGTGGGTTTATACTTGATATTAGTGGCCAGTCTATCCCCAGAAATGGAAACAGAGATGTTGAGGAAGAGAAGGGAGGAGTCAGAGATAGACGAGGTGAAAGTGAGGACAGGGTAGAAATTGAAGCGAAATCGATGAACTTTTCCAATTCCGGATGAGAGAGGGAAGCAGCACCGAGAATATCATCAATATATTGGAGAAAGAGTTGTGGGTGGGGGCCTGAGTAGGACTGGAACAAGGAAAAGAAAATTAGGAAACCAAATACAGGAAATTAGAAAATAATGACAAGGTAAAATCAAGGAAAAGCCAAAGGTATTTTAACAATATATTAGAGCAAAATTTTAACTAAGGCAAGGGCAGGGTCTATCTAAGAGATATAATTGGTAGGTTTTGATTATATGAAGAAGATGACAAATGAAATGTTTGTCTCTATCTTCATAAAGAAGTGAAAATATTTAGTTAAAGAAGAGTGTGAAATAGTTACTACAAAAGAGCGTGAAGCAAGAGGAGGTCTGAGTGAAACTGATATCCTTGAAGGTGGTTAAATTACTAGGATTTATTGGATTGTACCAGGTTGATAAAAGGAAGTCAGGAAGGAAACAATGGATACTGTGAGGTTCCTTTTCCAGTCTTCACTAGAAACAGGCGAGGTACCAGAGGATTAGAAG